GGTCGTTGCCCGGGACGAAATATGGCATTAATTACGGGCCATAAAAGGCATCTGTAATATTTCCGCAGCTGAATAATAATAAACCTCTAACTGTAAGTTTACTGCGAATTTTTTTCTTAACCTGCGAGTTTTATTTATCCTCTTCTCGCTGTGACATCCGCGAATAGATCTTAATTTTAGCGGATTTATATTAAATGACATCATCTCCTTTAAAAGCCTAATTAATTCATTTTTTCTGTCCGCCGCTAAGCGTGCGAAAAAGTTTTGCCGATGTGGTAGCTTGGGCGTATCATGTTTCAGTTCGGGCAGGATACGGTCACATTTTTTGGTGTCATTACCGGATTGTTGGAGTGCTCGGTTAGTACAGAAAATGGCAGGGGAATGCGCGTAATTTTTTTTAAGAGTCTTACTGGTTTTCTGAGAATTCACGCCCCCTTCCTCCGCCTTTCCAAGGGTGGTACGAGACTCAGGTTAAATAAAATTGTATACAGTGTTACCCGCAATTGTTTTTATGAGCAATGTGCTCCCAAAAATTAGTGAAATTTTTTAACAATGTTTTGAATGATTAAAAAATGGATTTATTGAAATTCTGCTAATTACAATAAATGACCTTGATTTATGTTATTTAACTGCGTATACTACAAATAAGAAATATCGATCGTAATACACGAACTAGTTAGGTTCCGATCCTGGTTACTGAACTACAAGGCACAGAAGGTTGACGTTCAATCACGTTCGTTGATGGGTCAGCAGAGGTAGCGAAATCCGCCTTCGTTTGGGCAATTGGCATCTGCGGATTTTGCTTATTTTTGAATTGTAGTCGCCCGAAACGGATGATGGACTTTTAACCTGACGTGGTACTGCCACGCCTTCTACTTCTCGTGGAGCTTTGTTTGGGTTCCCATGAATATGGGCCTCTATTTTAATCGCGGTTGGCCCTGCGTAAAGTGATTCCAATTGGAAAGTTGAGCGTAAATTTGAAATCCGCTCATAACTTAAAATACGACACCACAAAACAATTCAAGATACAATTGTTAAATAGAGGTGTTTTTTTCTTTACTTTGGAATATCCTCCCAAGCCACATATATTAGCATTATTAGCTACATAGTAATTTTTCAATTTGTGCAATGATGTGAAGAAAATTATTATTATCTAACTTAATCAAAACGGCCATGACCCCATAAAAATGAATAACGAAAGTTCATTTGTTTCTAAATTATCTGCAATACGGATGATTTTATATTTAAAATTTTGTAATTAAATAGGAGATATATATAATTATTTCGTTGAATATTCATTTCCTATTTGGTAATGCAAATGCACATGAAAATACAGTTTTAAATATAAATATTAAAAGGCCGGAAAATTCAGTGGTATAGAAATTGGCCCTCTGCTAAACCTCAATAACTTTTACGCCAATAATTTTTTAGATTTTTCGAATTCAACGAAGTACTCAAGTAACGTAAAATATTATAATTGTTTTAAGAAGTAAAATATTTACTTTCATATCCGAAAAATATAGAGTGGAAAGATATAAATAATGATTTGTCGCAAAATTCCTGAAACAATTTTTATTTTCAATGAGGCATATTACAAAGAGGTTTGTTTATTTGTTTACTTAAACTTCTTTAATGTATACATTTTTTTTCTTACTTGATAAGCCACAATAAAATTCCATACCTTATCACCTGCTCAATAGTTTTTTGGCCAATTTGAACCGAATGTGATTGATTTGTTGGTACTTGTTTGTATTTTAATGTGTAAATAATTTGGATCCCGATTTATTTGACCAACGGATACGGTTTCAACAAGACGGGGCACCACCACATTTTGCTCAAAATGTACGGACCTATCTCAAAGAAGTGTTTCCGAAAATAAAAACTGACGTGTTTCAGGAATTTTGCGACAAAGTTACAGAATTTGCTCCAGTTAAACTTTCCACTCTGTATATAGTTCTTCAACAAACTGGAAATAAATTTGTTCGGTTACTGCTCATCTTACACAAGTGTAACACTTAAATAAACCTCTGTCTCTATTTGAAGTTGATGTAGATACAAAAATCTAGAAATGTGAGGCTGTTGCCGCATTTCCCCTAATCCACATTTTATTTGAGACAGCCTCGACTTTCAACGTCGATATTATCCGACTTAATAGAAAGAACACGCCTTGATTTTTAACCATTTGTTCGTTTCACAATCCCCTTTCCGCCGGCAGGTACTTGTTATATCCAATTGGGTGATCTTTCACTGACGAATCGAGAAATAATTGACGTAAGAAAGTAATGAACACATCTGACGCTCCAATTTGTATATTTCAAAAGCCATTTAGACTGCAGCTCGCTGCAGGCCGCTGTAGTCGCTTACTTCGCTTCAAAATTCAACGATTACAATATAAATTATTTTGACTAGCGCCAGACGACAAAACGAAAACTAAGTAGCACAAAGAGCATACAATTCGCCGGGAGAGTAAACCTTAATTTAATAGAAACATAAGAGGGCTTTGTTCCAGCATTATTCTCTACCATTTACGGTGAATACCTTTTATTACAATGGCTGAAGTTGAGCTATGCGTTTGCAATTAATTTCAGGTTAATTATAGAGACAGACCTAGTTCCGGCGCCTTCTTGGATCGACGTGTTGTCGCGGAAGACTAATTACTTGAATTCATATAAACAGACGCCGCTTCGCGGTGCTGCCGCTAACAGCCACTCGACTGAACAGACCTTTTTAGTAGTGACGTCACTTAGAGCCACCAACGTTGAGTCTATGTTGACCCGAAGCAACATAATTTCCAATAATTTTCGCACGAAGAAAAGTTAAAGGGATGAAATATATTAACATATACAAAGTGTCTATCACAGCAACAATCTTGTAAATGTCGGTTGATTGAACGTACATTGTACTGAAATATAATTCAGTACAGACCTGTTTCGACCCCTGTTTCATGGCCCGGTGGCAACCCGACGAAGCTAATCATTTTCTTAAATCTATGAGTGTACTTTACGTCTAAAAACGATTGCCGTAACAATCATAAACGTGTTTAATTGCTTACAAACTGTTGGCAAAGCAACAATTAACAAAATAGACCAAAACCGCGTAAAGAAGGCTGGGAATTTTACAGGAACTAAAAAAATTGCGAATATGATAACTACACTCACGAAATGAAACAACAATTAACGTATATTTTGGAGAAGGTAACAGGTTTTTTAGTTATTTCTTCGAACTGCTTATTATAATAAACAAAGTAACATTAAATTATTTTATAAATTAAACAACTTTATGTTACGTTGTCGGCTGAGACGAGATCACGCTTAATTAAAAAAAAAATGATGGATTTTCTGAAATAGTGATACTGACATCATAAGATAAATGTCACTTGTCGAGAAGCGGCGGCTCATTGAAAACTGGATATTTGTAAATTCAAATATATCGTGTATCATTCGCGTCAAAGTGAATTTAAATAGGCTCAAATATAAATAGATCAGAATTTTTAGATGTCTACTTGCGAAAAACAACGCATACCACGTATAATATTATTGAAATCACTCCGTTACGATTTACTCTCTAATAATTACACAGATAATCATCATATCTAGGTATTACTAGGTAAAAATATTTGTAGGCATTCAAAAGTCCAGGTAAATAGTTTTAATCAATTAAAATTCCTTATGGATTGTTATGAAGATACGGTTTTCCAATCACCGACTACTAAACCAAAATTAAGCATATACCATCATTTCTGTTTATGTTAACCCACAAAGTCCTCAAAATTAATTAAGATTTATCGAGTCCAAAGAATTTTGAATATCTTGGAATGCCTTAATATGGAATCAAATCATTCTTGTTCGTTTACTTCTTAATTCATTATGCTACTTAGGTACACCGAATATGCCCTTGAATGGGGTGTGGTTCTCTGTTAAATATTCATAAAAGCATTCTATTTTTCCATATTAGCTTTCGTAAGAGCTTATAGAAGCAGTGGGTGGGTCAGTTCTCGGCCCACTGCTTTGAAATTATTGTTACGATTGCATCGGGAATTGTTGATTAAGTGTTCTTAATCCGATATTGCAAACATATTGAAGCATAGTCACCGTACATATCTAAATAATGGTATAGTATATCCGAGAAACTGTAAAATTGGTGTTTCTTTGGATTGCACTGCTCCAATTCTCGGACTTTCATAAAATCAGTGGGTGTGACCTGAGGTGCGACTGATGATTTAATTCCGACCAATGTTGGTAGCTTTTTGGATCCATAGATACGTAAACAAAAATCCACAGAAAACCAAAAAATTTACAAAAATATATAATAAAAGAAATATGAAATAAAAATTATTGTAATTTTAAAGGACTTATAATTTTTTTACAACTCGACTTCAAAGCATAAACTATAGAATGCTTTGTGTCGGCCAAATTTTCCAGCCAGTTATATAAGATTTAATTCATACATTTTTGAGATTTTTAAATTTAAACAAGAACGGTACTGAGACTGAGAATGATGTATATTGTATTATAAGGGTTATATACCTGTATGTCTATTAGAAAATGATATGTCAGGGACAAAATGGTGTTAGTGGATAAGGCTTTGGTTATAACGAAGAGAAAAAGCCAATTTGAACAGTAGTTGATAAAGAATTCCAAGATGGTCAATACCAAGAAGACCAATTTAAATCACGTTTAAAGATTTACTATATTTTTAAATCGGAATGTAATTAGAATTCACTAAAAAATTTAAAATTAGAGCTAGTACATTTTGTTCATGAATTTATTGCAATCAATAAATCGATGATAATTTTGTGCTTATTACACACAACAATTAGTTCAAGGACAACAAATGTATCAATTTCTTTGACTGGTGTAAAACTGCAACAAGGATAAGAAAACTCCTACAATTACCACCGCTTGTGTCAGAATTTCTAACAAATCGTCAGCTTTCTAGCCAACGAATCCGGAGTTTGACGCGCTCAGGTAAAATTCAAAGGAAACAAAGCGCAAACAAACCTGTATGCGTCCTGAGGTGGGCCTTCAGATGCGAGCTCTTCCCATAGACCTTGTGACAGCCATCGTAGGAACACTTGTGCGTTTTCCTGGCCTGGGTTCCCAGCCTGGGCGAGGACTGCGTCCTGGGGGCGTTGGACTTCTTCGGGGGCGGCCCCGCGTCGCTCTTGCGACTCTTGGCGCTTGTCGCGGCCTTCTCGGCACTCCTAGCCGGTTTGTTGGGGGTGGTGTTGAAGCTGTTATAACCCTCATCGGGATCTTCGTCGATGGTGAGGGTGCCCTCACCGTCGGACGGCACTTCCGGCACCGGTTCCTGCTTCAACCTGGTCAAATCCGTGAGGATGCGGGCCACCATGTACGAGGACGACTCCGTAGAGTTGGTGGTGACCGGTTCCTCTTTGAGATACGTGGCCGGTACCATGGGTATCTGTTCCACGATGACGGCGGGGCCCGGGGGGTTGACGAAGAGGATTTCCTCGCGGATCAGGGACTTGGACAGGTCCAGGGGGCGGTTCAAGTTCAGGTTGAGGTGGTCCTTGCTGTGGGACATCTCCAGGAGACACTGTGCGGCGAAGTTGATGTCATCCATCGTGGGTGAGGGTACACTCGAAGCACTGCGAAACCGAATTCGTGGCCACTGAAACACTTCACAAACCTCGCGGCGGACTTAGGTGTCTGCGAAGAGGGTCGTGCTCATCTCCGTGGGAGGCGTGACTCGGCGGCGTGCGTGAGAATCGAGGAGAGCGGCCGCGGCAACTTGACAACGGCGAGCACACTTTCCGACTGCCGCGGAGTTTCGGCCGGTGCCGTTTCATCCCCGCCACTTGTTCCCTCTTCTACCATATTGGCCCGCGCGAGGTTTCGCTACTTCATGGGGTGCCCACCGCGAGGGGTTGCTGCCGAGGCACCTGGGTCAGTCGTACGGGAGTCGGTGTTTCACCCTTTGAACTAATTGAAAGCCGTAGAAGGAATATGACCGAATACACTCTTTTATGGGATTGTGAAAAGTGCCAGCGTAAAATGTTATAAAGGGTTTTTTCGCGCTACCTGATTAAGGTTACTATGCAGGATATCCCAGTTTTAATCTGTCATAGTTCAGGAGTATATAGAACAACGAAAACTAATGGTAATTTATCTGCAACTTATTTTGAGATCCCAACCGTTTTCGAGGTATAGGGTATCAACCCATAAAAGTCACACTTGGGATGGATCACCTTACAGGTCACACTAGTGCGAATTGGGATTTTGCCAACTTTGAATCTTTATGTCTTCATTATTCGTTGACGAAAACAACATAGTTATATCAAAACTGGAGTAAAACTTTCCGAGAATTAGTTTTGAAAACAAAATAATTTGTTAATAAAAAATGCAACTGAAAAAAATTTTTTTCGAAATATATTTTCAATTTACATTTTTTTTTCAATTTTCTGTAAATTGACGTTTATTTTGCACTCTTTTGTATAAAAATATTAATTTAAACAATATTATCCATAATAGTCCGGCCAAAATAGACATTTCAAATAACGAAAATTCAGACAGAGCTAAATTTTGGTGGAGACCTTGGGTACACCATTAGAAATAAAGTATCAAAAGTCCCCATCGATCCCATGTGTGCTAAATAAGTTATTCGGGGTCAAAGGTCAAAATTTGAGGTTTTTTGGATTTTTTCGAAAACGGTAAGTTTTATCAAAAAAGTAGCTCTGATAAAAATTATAGATCTTAAATTATATACAAAAAAGGTTCTTATACTTTTTTTTCTAAGAATTACTATTCCTGAGATATCGCGATTCTAATAGTTGAAGAAGTCACGTTCTACATGATATGCACACATTTCCACACCACCTGTGAGGTAGTGTACTTTGGCGCGTTTTTTAACGTGGTTTCCCTGGTAGGCCTACTCCTCGAACTGTTTTGACGGAATTTTCAAGGACAATACTCTTTTAACTGCATGATTATTATTGATATTGGTTATTGACTTTAACTGTAGTTCTGATTTCTTTTGATATTTTAATCTGATTCATACTCTTCAAAGTCGACTTTAACAGTCATGTCTTCTTCGCTTTTTTTTTCTTCTTTTTCCTCTTCTTCTTGCTGGATGTTCATAAATTGTTCAAATGAAGATGAATCAGCTGTCTCTTCATCGAAATCACATAAATCTTCGTCTGTTGTATTCAATTGGACATTTGACCAAGACTGGCTTTGGCAATTAGTACATGCTGGAGAACACAGTAACCCTACTCTTCTACAGCCACATTTAGCACTACAACCTTTTTTGCAATTGCGAAAAATAGTGTTTAGGAGTTTACTCCCACCTGCTCCGGGGTGGGAGTAAAGTTTGAATCGGTTCCAAAGTATTATCTGTTAATTTCCAACCCCAATCTTCTGGGTTCAGTTGATTGCCTAGCCATGTCTGAACTTGATAGTATACTCGATACAAGTGTTGATTAGCAGAAGCCGATGTTGGAGGAAGACAAGATAGTTGTACTTGTTTCTTGTTTTGTGTATTTTTTACAAAAATTTTTACAATAGAGTAGCCGGATGTTATTCAAGGCCATGCGGGTAGAGGGGCTTGACTAAGGGACTCAGTTTCTTTTGAGTGTATATTCTCAGGATAGTATAGCTTATACATATAAGAGACACAAATAGGCATTTTTACTTGTATTAAGTGCCTGACTATGTATATACGTGGCAGGTATATGCATATCAGGAATGGTGATTCTCAGAAAAAAAGTATAAGGACCTTTTTGGTAGATAATTTTAAGATCTATAATTTTTGTCTGAACTACTTTTTTTATAAAACTTACCATTTTCGAAAAAAATTCATTCATTTTGACACGTAAACTGAGGTGAAAAAAATTGAAAATTTGCATTTCAATTCACTTTATATCTAGATTATATTACCTATACAAATTCAGCCACAATTTTGCCCACACTGAAGTCACACTAGTGCGAATTCCCACCGATCAGACTTTTCNGTCTTCTGGGTTCAGTTGATTGCCTAGCCATGTCTGAACTTGATAGTATACTCGATACAAGTGTTGATTAGCAGAAGCCGATGTTGGAGGAAGACAAGATAGTTGTACATGTTTCTTGTTTTGTGTATTTTTACAAAAATGTTTACAATAGAGTAGCCGGATGCTATTCAACGCCATGCGGGTAGAGGGGCTTGACTAAGGGACTGAGTTTCTTTTGAGTGTATATTCTCAAAATAGTATAGTTTATACATATAAGAGACACAAATAGGCATTTTTACTTGTATTAAGTGCCTGACTATGTATATACATGGCATGTATATGCATATATCATGTAGAACGTGACTCCTTCAACTTTTAGAATCTCAGGAATGGTGACTCTTAGAAAAAAAGTATAAGGACCTTTTTGGTAGATAATTTTAAGATCTATCATTTTTGTCTGAACTACTTTTTTGATAAAACTTACCATTTTCGAAAAAAATTCAAGAAACCTCAAATTTTGACCTTTGACCCCGAATAACTTTTTTAGCACACATGGGATCGATGGGGACTTTTGACACTTTATTTCTAATGGTGTGCCCAAGGTCTCCACCAAAACTTAGCTCTGTCGGAATTTTCGTTATTTGACCACTATTTTTATGACTAATTTGACCGGACTATAAATATTGATAAATACCTACAATGTTGCAATTAAACTATTAATGAAAAAAAATGTTTGAAAAATTATTAACAATGCCTAAATAAACAATTACAACAATCTTTTGACACGTAAACTGAGGTGAAAAAAATTGAAAATTTGCATTTCAATTCACTTTATATCTAGATTATATTACCTATACAAATTCAGCCACAAT